TGGCTACAGCACGAATATATATCTGCGAACATACTTTTTTTTTAAGATCAAGAACCTTGAGTCAAACATGGGTCTTGTGAACAACACTTGAGCACCTTCAAAGTGTTTTACGATTCTCAGTTTAGAGTTTTAATGTGAATGCTCGCATTTTGGCAAACAATACTGAACACCCACTGGGGATGTGAAAAGCCTCCAATACTTCGGGTGTCACCTTGTCCTTGTGTCGTCCTATCATGGTTGTGTAACTAAATGACTGTTCGCACAGGCACTCTTTACAGTGGACCGGAAGGTGTCCTCCCACAGTGGCGCCTAGTGAATGCATGTGCTCTCGGAGCCCACCGTTAAGGCAGCGTTCCGTCTGCTCAACGTAGGTGCGACCACACAAGAGTGGGATCTCATATACTACCCCCTAGCACATTAAACCATTGGATTGGCGTGTTTCTCACAGCACCTGTTCCTTGCTATTCCCTTAACCTTCGTGTTAACTCTTGGACAAATCTGGTTTGTGTTTTGCGGAACAGAAAAAAACTACCAGGATTCCATAGCGGCTGTCAGCATTTTTTTTTTTTTGTTTAATTGTGTGAGACCCGGTGTAAATGTGGAATGACGACTGATCCCTTCCTTTCTACGATACGTTTGGTGAACTGGCAGCCCTTAATTTTCTTCAGAAAAGTACCTAATACGTTTGACACTAGCGCCGAGGGATAGCCAGATTTTACACCCTGTCAGCCTGCGTCTTGAAGCTATCTTTCAAGATGTGTCGAGGCACGATTTTTTCTGTGCTGAGCCTAGACATGGTAGTGCGATGCCCCCTTTACGATTTTCGAGTGGGCCGACATGTAGTCCTAAATACCCTTCTCTGATCTTGGGCAAGAAGTCTAGGAAATATGGGAGTCTTTTTGGCAGAGAGAGAGGTCCAGGTACTGGAGTACCCTTTATTTTGGAACATCAAAGGTGAACTTGAGGCCTCCCCCACGCTCTGTAAATATCTCCACCACTTTGTTTACCTGCGTTTCCAATTTTTCACATCTTTCGAGAAAGCGGAGGGGGACAGGCCAAGGTGCATATCCAAATGTGTGCATGTTCTTCAAGCTCCAAGGAAAAGAGGACATATTGATCCAATCTCCCCCTTGGTGGATTATATGATAGATAATGGAATACGTGTCATGTTATCTGACAACTAGAGACAATTTGTGGTATTACCGGCAGGCATGTTTAACAAAAAAGTAAGCGCGCCTATAGAAAATCATTTTGGGGAAGTAAATGTCAATCTAACGAAAACTAGAGAAAGGGTAAAACAGCTATGGAAGCGCCTAGCGCGGTGGGGAATAGAAACGAAGCAACCATGACTGAGAATCAAAATTCATTGGATTTTCCTCGCATAAGTTCGAAACCTAACGGCTGCGGGTCTTCTTTAAGCTTCCCAAGGTTTTCGAGCCATGTGGAACCCTGCCACGTTTCACTCCGAAGCAACTTTAGAAAAACAACGCGGCTTGGCCTATTTTTTATTGGACTGAAAACAAAAACGCACGACGGGCACTGAGGTGAAAGGGTGAAAGGGTACATGCCAGGGACTATTACACTTTCCTATTGGTATCGTCTTCTGAATAACACGTCTCTTCCCACTCCGTTCGCCTGCGGCCTAGGCATTCTTTCTAAGGGCCTGTGCAGACAAGTAGAGCCCTGCGCGGATAACAGTTGGATCATCCGCCTCCGATCCGCATCCGAACCGCATCCGGAAAATTCGGAGCTGCATCCCACCCTCAATCCGCGCATTCATTTTATTTTATAAACTTAAGCATGAACAAAAATTAATAAAAGCATCTTATAAGCCGTCTGCTTACCTTATTACACAGAATTCTTCGTGTCAGGATACGGTGAAAGTCATTTTATCGTATTCTGTTTTATAGTATTTTAAAAGAAGCGATCTTTCCAGGGACACTTCGCATCGCAGGAAAGATGATCGCAGTTATGAGGTCGTCTTGGGAGCCCGTGACACTGGGACTCTGTCCAGAAGATGCGCTCAAAAGGAAAGAAATTCATTTATTTTCCTTTACGCTTCGTAAACCCCACTTGAAGCAGACGTACATTTTATAAACATGAATATTACCAAGGAGACTAATAACATTGTGTCATTTCATTAAGGAGAAACAATACATAAGTGCAAGAGGGAAGGCTCTCACTACTCACGGCAGCAAAATACTAGTGTATTTATTGTGGCTCGAGAAACCCCCTGGGAAAATATCACAATATCCAAATATGGCAACACCTCCTATCGGTTTCAGTTTTAAACACGAACCCTCAACTGAATGCTCGGAAACACATGCTTAAAAATAACTCAGTGCCGACTGTCGAGGAATAGAAAACGCACACACACGCAACGTTTCACTTGTAGAGGTTGCTGTGAACAAGAAACAGAATATAGTGAACATGCACAGATTCAGACTAGTGCGCCTCTCTTAAATATCCGCTAAGGAGAAGTCCATCTCCGTTGGTGTACCTGATGCTGGGGTGGCATCCACGAACTGCGCTATAAGAATGAGGTGCGGAAACCTCCGTGCTGGTGCAAGTTCTACTACTCCAGAGTATCGAATTCAATCTCCCCGATATACTCGTAGACAAAGAAGCCCCTTGCAGGCTCCTTCTACTTTCTTGTAGTTTGCACAGTACACCCCAAACTTAATGCCGTTACTGGGTTCCCAAACATTAAGCTCGTGTCGGCTACTTACTGTTAATTTAGTCACCAAAACGTTTGGGATGCCTTTTTAGGATTAGATAGAAATCGGGAACCCAAATATTCTTCAGGTAGTTCAATCGGCCGCCGCAGGACTGTCGGAAACGGTGAATGCCGTGGCGGCGTTAAGTTCGAGGCGCACTGTACCTTTATGATTTTCTTTGTCCAAAGAACGTTTTCCGCTGTGCCAAAAAAGCACGCGCTTTCCCGGGACTACTGATGCTCCAGCATTCTTTACTTTTTCTAGGGACAGCATTTTTGGCGAGATAGAATGTTCGAAAGCGGTTTTTGATGAGAATCAAAATTTTCTTGACGTAAAAAGCAATTTCCTCCCCGATTGGCAACTTTTATCTAAGCGAGTAGTTTGCTCCCACATTCCATTCGACGATGCACTTTATAGTACCCTTCACTTAATCACTCTCCTCTGCACGGTCACACTCGTTTATGGGCGGCCTGGGCAAAAATGTAGATCCGGACCCACGGATATCCGATCCGCATCCGCAGCATCTGGCATCCGCATTCGATCCGCAATCAGCCAAATCTAATTAATTTTTATCCGCACTCGCCGGTTTACTGCGGATATTCGCGGATATGCAAGGCTCTACAAATAACCTAGCCAGTCCATATAGTATAAATGCGTTTTTGTAATCTTATCTGCATGTTAGTTTAACGCTTGGCTGCTTACAGACAAACGCGTAGTTTACACCGGGTGCGTAAACTATGCGAAACGACCTTCCCGTTTGAACCTGTCTTGTTTCAACCCGTTCCCGAAACGCCCTTCATATTTGAACCCGTAGCTAAGACATATTTTACGTTTGAGTTCGTCCCGTTTGAACCGGTTGGTGTAAAGCCTCGCACATCTCAACCTCTTAGCGAAAGTGTCCATCGTTTTAATCCTGGTTTGCGCAGTTTTTCTGCTTAAGAATATGTCCCTAAATCATGTTAATGCAATTAATGCAAATGTGCAGGCGAGCAATTCAGTTATGTTGTGAAATATTTTTGCTTGTAAACGTATTCTTAAAATATGCAATACTTTCAGACAAGCTTCGACGAAATATATTTCTACTTGAACCTCCTAAATTGTTTCTTTCAAGATGGCCCCCAAAATGTGTAAGTATGAAATGGACTATGTACACTGCGCGACAACGTTACCACGAACACGATGTTGGCGATTTCTCGAATTTTACTTCGAAAAGGTATTAGAGGGTACCACATTTTACCGCTTAGGTTAGTGGCCCAGATGAGCACTTTCAAACACACTACCAATATTGATGGCAGTCTTGACTTCTTTTAGAAAACAGCTAAAACCAACAATCGCTTGTTCGCGCTAGCGGTTTCGCGCTCTTTACAATAACAGGGAGCTTTCGTAGACCGTTTTCGACGTCACGCGACGCTCCTCCGCAACCTGCTACGATACCCAGAACTCTACAGTCAAGGCCATCGGCGCGCAGGCGCAGTAGTGGCTTCATCGTTGCGGAGGGCTTAGCGAAAGGGGAAACGCGGTCTACGAAAACTCCCTAATAAAGTCTCAGAGACGCAAGCAAGCACTTTGAGTAAGCAAAAATTAGCGTTGCCTAAGTTTTTATATCGCGACGCTACGTTTAGGTCACCAAAAACGCTTGCGTACGTTATTCTAAAACTTCCTTATAGTGAACGGGATAATTTTAAAAGCGATAAATCAGACAGGCTGACGGGCATATGATTGCGACTTCATTTTCTTACAAGTTCAAACACAAACCCGTCGCGTACACAGGCAAAAATCATAAACCACAAAATGCTATCGCCTTGGTTGAGTATGTCGAGCAGGAAAACCACGCCATCAGGACGGCGACACTCCAATTGTAATAGTTGGCGGCGGTGACCTGGCCCGCACGGCACCACCATTTGCAAACTGCTGCAGTGATATCCTTGTCAAGGCCTCATCCCGTTTGCAGGTCGATGAAGTTGTAAATGTTCGGGTGAGCCCTCCCTAACACAGCGTTTATCTTACGGTGCCATGTCTCCGAGGTTGTTTCGGGAGAGGGAGAAGTGATGTGAGCAAGGAGGACAGACACTGGACACTTGAAACTAATCAACTGTTAACGAACAATACAAACGAACCGAACGATGGCCGAAGCGGGAAGGTTGCTTCGGGAAAGAGCGAAATGGGATGAAACGAGAGGGTCGTTTTGAGCCCGGTCGAAACGGGAAGGTTGTATTGGGGGTCGAAACGGGAACCAGCCGACCTGAGGAGGGGAGCCCGTCGTCGGCGCGATGCGGGACTCACTTCCGTAGTAGATCCCGGCCGCTGCGCCTAGGGTGACGAAGATGACGGCCAGGGTGACGCAGAGGCAAGTGGACAGCGTGCAGCCCTCTTTTTTGGTGAAGGTGATCTCGTGCTGGTTCACCAGGCATGGCGGCGGTGGCATGTGCTTCAGTGGCGGATACTGCGTGAGGCATCAAAATGGGGAGCTCTAGTTGCGTGCGTATTTTTCTTTCTTTTACTTCGTCAGACTAATCACTCTACAGCCGGGGTCACACTGCTCATACGTCATACAAAAGACAGTCTGCAGACACAAGTCACCGCAATGTCCGTGGTTCGAATGCCGCGTGCCAGCTTTTCTCCTTGAACATTCATTGCCCTGCGGCATTCGAAGCCCGGATCTCGCGGTGACTCGCGTTCGAATCTGTATGCAGACTGTCTTTCGTATGATGCATAAGCGATGTGACCGTTTATTGGGTCATTCCACGCCAAACGATCCACACTCTTAAAAAAAAAAAAGGTACATATAGTCTTCTCTAAAGGGGGAAGGTTCTTGATACTTATGTTCCTTCGGGAAGGGAGAAACTCGCCCCTGAACGCTGGGGAGCAAAGTTCTTCTGTCGTCTGCATCTCATTATGGCGGCCCCGAATCGAGCGCATTGAGCTCAATAAGGCTTAACGAGGACGCTACGTCTGTTGTAGGGGGCGAGAGGAGCTTCAAATTAAATACCAACACGAGCTTTCCCGAACTGTATTTATTTCCGAAGCCAGTTTCCCTCGTGGGTAAAGAAACTTGGGTTTCGAAAATTGTCACTCAGTCTTCTCATCGTTAAGAGTGCGATGTTAAACGGAGAAAACCGATACCCAGTTACTTCGCCCACTTTACGTCTTACCTTTGCTATTTCTCGGGCCACAATTCTTCGTCAGTATCGCACATCAAGGAGGAATGGTAAACCATTTTTTGAAACCAATATCCGCTCACAAAATGGCAAATTTGAAGCAGCCTACTCGGCTCATTGTTGCACGGGTAACTAGAAAATATCGCGAAGCGTGAAAGAAGGTTAAATTTATCGCCACTAGATGGCAGCTTCAAGGTAGGCGGCGCTAGGTGCTGCCCGATTCATGTGCTACAAATATATATTTCTTGGCTCATTCCACCATTGCGCTTCGGCTGAACATACACAACGAGCGCACGCAATTAAACGGCGCATACAAACATCAATTCAACAGCGCACTAACCGAAGCTGTGCGTTTTCGCCTTTTATACTCGTCGTTTTGAAGGTACAAATTTTCTCGGCGAACACCTAAGCAATAGCCAAGATTTCCAGCATGTTGATTTATTTTTCACTAATGTCATACCACTGAAAGTATTTTTAAGATCAAGGGATGCATCTCTAAGTAAAAAGTAAACGTTCATGCCGTAATTATTTGTAAGTTAACAAAACAAACCTCTCCACTGCGGTTCCAAGCCATGAGTTTGTTTCCCCGCTCAGCAATTCGTAGAATGGCGCGAATGAACGCCAATTTTTCAAGCGTAGTATTTCTTTTTCTTTTCTTTTTTTTGCGCTGTTCGTTTACGGCTGCAATTGTCGTTTTGAATTAAGCTGGGAGCCATGCTTCACGGGCAGAGGAATCACTTTTCGATTAATGTGAATGCAGTGAACGCCGCGAGTTGTGGCAGGAGTTATGTGTACGGAGCTACGACGTGGTGAGCTCGGAAACTTCCAGCGCCCATCCCAGCGCGCCACTTGAAGGGCAATTTGTCCAGGAACCGTAGTATATTTATACAGCAAAATAAAGCATAGCTTCTTTTCTTTTCTATCTTGCCTACCACCTTCGCTTCATGCTAAAATTCCAAACTGTGAATATAAGTACTTTCCGTTATATTTCAACTTTGCTCTGTCCTTCCCCTAGAGTGCAATCGCTCTCAAGGAGGAGACAACAGGACATCGCTGACCACAGTCAGCCTAAACCGTAGGAGCTACGGTTCAGACTAGCGTTACATGATTATCCGCAGGTCGATCGATTGCACCGTAATCCCTCAAGCTATCTTAAACTCTTTAACGGAAAGTGGAATTTCAACCTGCGCCCCCCTCCCGTTCGATCACGGCCCGATCAGCGCCATCAATGCTCGACAGTTTATGACATTTCATCCTGTTGTTACACCACTGATACACGAACACACGGTCACATCGGCAAAAATTCCAGCCTTTGTACATAACGCAGAACACTGCCATCGCTACGCTTCTGCTATGTTGCTGACAACCGAAATACAAGACCACGTTGATTGCCGGTTCGCACTCGGCGTCAGAAACAGAACCGAACTCAGCACGGAAGACACGCAGGCGCCAGGCAGCAAAACCTGCCCAACCTCCGGACACAGAGCGAGTTGCGCGGCTCGAACACAAATTGCGCCACCATAGAGGTGTACAGCAGCGCTCGCGTGGTCGGAGGCGCTCATTACTAAAAACTAAACAAAACAATAATGAAACGAACCTCATTCAACTTTAGTTATGACTGCCATGTTGTTTTACTAAATACAAATTACGTATTCCCAAAAATATAATATATTTTTTTAAAAGTTCATGTCAACATCACACTCTCAAAATTTAGCTTTTTTCTGTTTTTTGCGTTTCTAAAACGAAACCACTGCCTGTGCGCATGCGCGCTTGCGCTCTGCGCGTTCTGAAACCGGTGGACCGTTGTGGAGGCGTCCGAGGGCCTGCTCGGTGCTTTCGCGCTTTCGCTCGCCTTCGGAGCGTCAAGCTTCGGCGCCTCGATCATCGCATTGCGCGAGCCTCGCACTTTCGGGCAAGTGGAAAGCTTTTCGTGTCTTTGAACCACCTCATTTGTGCGGTTACGCAAAGTCGTGCCCAAGCAGCGTTGGGGACAAGAAGCATCCGTTCGTTCGGATCCCAACTGACGACGGTGAGTTTGAAAGTTTTCACCCCAATTGAAACTTTTCCTAAGCTGATCTTCCAGTCACAAATTGCACCATTTGAGGGTTTTCTACTCTTTTAGGTAATTGAATATATCGTTTAATTTTTAAATTTACAAAATGTCACCGTGATTTAATTGCGATGTACCCATTTCTGCGAGCGTTCTTAGCACGGTTTTGTGGATGAAGACCGTTCTGCAAATATTTTATATTCTGTAGACTGTTGGCAAAATATCACCTCCTCTACCTCTCGTCGATCTCGTTCACTGCAGTGTCGATCCCCGTCGAGTAAATTGTAGTCTCTATATAAATATTCTTCTCCCAGTTTTATAATATTTCGGAGTTCACATCTTATAATATCTGCCCGTTTTTATTAATGTATCTCGTGTAGATTCTTTTACAGCCCTGCGACTAGTTTTGCCACGTTTTATTTCTTTCAGAAATAAATAGAAAGCTGGATTGTAAAATAATTTTTAAAGACACTTTTAAAATCTTGAAAGATTTACGCATAGAAAGGCGGAATGCAGACGGCAGAGCTTGATCGCGAGATGTGCTATCGGTCCTTCCATGTGTAATTTTTTCGAAAGTTTTTACACCTCCCAACGCACTCCCCTCAAAACAATTAAAACTCGCATTAGGCTTTTTTGGTTTTCGTTTGTTGCACATAAAATAGCATCATTTGCATTGTTTTTATTTTTTTATTTTTTTTTTTTTTTGTGTGTGTATTTATACAGATTCTCAACGCATGAAAATCACTCCAACAAGCCTCAGGGACAGGGAACCCCAATAGACAAAAGGTATGTCCGAGGTAACTTTTTTGTGAAGTGCACTTGATTGTTGGCAAACCTATCAAGCTTCCTGAATATGTAACCATCAGCATGCTAGGTTCCGCCGTAGTGATGATCTCTGCAGTCTAATCTACGATCAACTGTAATGTAAAACGAGAGTGGCTGGGGCAAAGAGAATTACAACAAAAACAAAAGGATAGTAGGAGCAGCCCTCTGCAATATTTCATAGCCCTGTTTCTCTTCTGCAAGTGTATGTGTTGTGACGAGACAAACTAATGTGTTCTTACATTGTCCTGTGCAGATCCTGAGAGGATAGAGAACACAAATACAGCAAAAATGAGAAAGAGCAATGAAGTGGCTGGTCCATCCATGGGCATCATAGGATCTCGGTGGCCACACCAAGAAAACCTGGTTCAACTCGTGGTTCAACTTGACGGTGCAAGCGACAGGTATCGGAAGCTCATCAAGAGGTCAAGAGAAATGAGAAATACCAAGGTGGTCTACAAAGAGCTAGGTCTACACATTATTAAGTCTCTAAAGATTTTGGTTCAAGTCTGTAAGTAAGCAACGAATAAGTTTGCCCGAATTACAATTCATTGTGTTAACTGTTTATTTGCAGGGACCAGTCAGAATGACACGAGCTTTCAACGAGGCATGAAATCTTTTGGCTGTGCTTCTCGAGACCCTCGAGAGACAATGTTGTCCACTGCGTCAGCAGGTTGCTCCTTGCACGATTTTTATGGAGCAAGATCACAGACTAACAGAAGCCTCTGAGCATCCACTTTGTTTAGACACGTTGTTAGCCTGCTGGTGGCCAACAACCTCTAGGCAGTTTTCTTTTTAGGGTGGGAGGGCGAGGGGGAAATATCTGTTGCTTCGAACCAGTGATTCCAGGACCTTTGGCAGCTAGAATTCAAACTACGTATTTGGAGAGTTTCACTCTTTAAGATCTCTAATTTTGGTGGACAATCTCTGACCCACTAAAATTTTGCATTATCGTCTTATTACACAGGTTGAAGAATTGATGTTTTATCGTAATATACGTTCAAGTTGGTATTTGAGATTCCACAACCTATAAAACCATTTAAATATCTTCTTAGAAATACCTCACCGCAAGCACGTAGCCAGGATTTTGTTTCGGGGGGGGGGGGGTGGGGGGGGGGGGGGGGGGGGGGCGCTCATGACAAAATGCTGTATGTGGGGGAGGGCGGAGAGAAGGTCCTAGCAAACTGAAAGATTTCGGGGGGGGGGGGGGGGGGGGGGGGGCAGGGCCCATGGGCCTCCCCCTGGCTACGTGCCGGCCTCACCAATAGGGCTGTTTGCAAACAATTCTCCGTCAAGGCTGCATATTTACTTCACACTGGGTTTGCTTCTATGTAACACATATCAGAAATTATGATTATTGTGTTTTCATGTCACGGAAACAGACATTTCTGTTTG